GTCTTCGCGCTTATGTCTCCGCGGATAAGGGCTTCGCGGATTTGTGGTGGAACCGTTCTTTCCAATGTGGATGATAAGTATCTGAACCTGCGGGAGGCCTATAATTGACAATTGAGCAAAACATGAGTAAAATTTTCAGTGTCTGGGGCCACATGTGCAAGTCCTCTCATGATATGTCGAGCGATGGATGTGCCCCTTTTTGCCATGGAATCCATCAACTCAAATCTCGCTCTGTAATAGGCCCTTCTTAAAAAATTGTGTCAAACTAATTGACAGGCATTTTTTCAGTAAAGTTAAAAAAAATTAACAGTTTTTACCCTTATGAACTTCTTTCATATTTGCTCCCTTTTTTTACTTTGTTTTTCCCCAAGACAATATGTTCAGTGTGAGGGAATGAGAGAGAGAGACACACACACAGAGAGAGACACACACAGAGAGATACACACACAGAGAGACAGAGAGACACAGAGAGGGAGATATCTAATTATTTATCATCCATTTGGTTTTATTTGTTGAGTCTTGATAACAATGAAATCTATCAGTTTAGGAGGTTTGGCAATTGACAGTCCTAGCAGTTAATAAAATATGTTCTGTTTTATTCCAGAGATCTGTGAATGGAGAAGTTGCTTCTAGTGGTGACTGGATCTTGGATCCAACTGAGCTTGCAAATAAATTTAATTCCAAGACCAAAGCTATTATATTGAATACACCTCACAATCCCATAGGAAAGGTAAGCATCCTGTTTTGAAGTTTCTCTCTCTCCCTCCCTCCCTCTCTCTCAGTATATATTGAATACATTTCTCTCTTTTCATTTTAGGTCTATACAAAAGAAGAGCTCCAGATAATTGCTGATCTCTGTATTAAGTATGATACACTGTGCATCAGTGATGAGGTGTATGAATGGATAGTTTATACAGGAAATAAGCATATTAAAATAGGTACTAACATTTAAAATGGTATAAATGGTACATGATGAGAAATCTAAATACACATTTTGGTTACTGCTTCTAAGAAATAGATTTTATCTAATTTTACTACATAGTAGTTTTTTTTGAAAAACTATCAGTAAAAAGCTTATTTTTAAAAATATTAAATATTTTGAATTTAGCTGTTGAACAAAAAGGAAACATGTTTATATCTCCTTATATTTTCTTCTTCAGAGTGAGATGGGGCAGCATATAAATTTAATGAATGAAGGAATGGTTGATTAAATAAATAAATATTCGAGAATATGGCTGTACTCATAGGTAATGCTAAGCCTATGTCCTTTAACCAGGATGTGTTAAACAAGGTATAATGGTCGGATTTACTATGATAAATCATATTGGATGGATTCGCATATAATTCTAAACCAAAAATTAACTGTTTTTGTTTTGGAATTATATGTGAAAGGACCTAGAGCTATGGAAAGGGTCTAGACTCTACGTGTCAGCCTCTGCTTTGCTGCTGCTTCGGCTGCCATTGAAACGGGGAGGNAAAGGCTGGGAAGGAACTCCGCTGGAGCTGGCGAGTCTTTGAAGAGATGCCCAGCTGAGCCTCACCAGGCATAAACCTCACCGCACGTCACTGACTAGAACCTTATATAGAACCTTTAACTCCATCACTTCAGTTGGTCCCAGTTAAAAAGTCTGTCCAGAATGTTTTAGATTAGCTGAAACACTTCAGCATGGATATTATTAAAGGATGTAATACTATGTTCAAAATTTGATACATTTGGCATACCAAGCTATAAACATAACTTTATAAATACTGATCTTCTGCATAGCAAAGGAATGAGTAAATTGTTACAGTAGAACAAGAAAAAAACATGCAATTAAAAAGGAGTTTTCATAAAATAATATATAGTCCTTGAGAAAGAAGAAATCATGGAAAAGAAATAGAAATAAAAGTATCTCTGCCTTGATTTGGTTTAATATAAATGGGACAGAGAAAACTTAAAGAGAGTTTCAAGATTTTATTACTATAATTAGTAGCAAAAGGAACTTTCTTGGACTCCTTTTCCTGTATTTCTTGTCTTGGCCTACCTCTACTGGCTGACATTCCCTTATATGTATGCTAAATTACCAAGAATTGTCATATGTGTCACATGAATGTTTCATTTCCATTACCAAATTCAGATACTAATGTAGATCTTCCTTGGATTTGTTTGGAAAAGAGTGGTCACATCTGTGGATTTCTTATAGGCCAGTGATGGCTAAACATTTTGGCACCGAGTGCTAAAACCGGAATGTGCATGCACACATATGTGCCCGTGCATGCCAGAGTGCCAGAACCCATAAGAGAGCAGCTGGTCTGTTCATTTGCATGTGGCAGCTAGCTTCTCTTCCGGGTTCTGTTGTGTGTATGCGCACTGGCCATCTGCTTTCTTCCATGTTCCATTGCATGCAGGTGTGCCAGACAGCTAGTCCAGCAAGCATGCACACCGGTCAGCTGCTCTCTTCTGGGTTCTGGCATGGACACCAGACAGCTGGTCAGTGTGCATCAGAGGTGGGTTGCTCCTGGTTCGGCTGAACTGGTAGTGGAATTCAGGCCTGGGTCACAGAACCAGTAGCGACCCAGGAATTCCATGCCCCCAAACCAGTTCCCTTGCCACTGCTGGGCCACTGCCATTTTGGTTTTTAGTTACTGCACATGTGCAGTGCTCTGTAAATTGTTCTGCACATGTGTGAAGAACAATTTATATTGAACAGTACATGCACATGCAGCACTCATTGCACACGGGTTGCAAACCGCTAGTAAAATCGGCAGCAACCCACCCCTGGCATGCATGTGAGTGCCAGAACCCAGAAGAGCAGCAGCTGGCCGGTGCACATGTGCACAATGGGATCAGGAAGAGAGCAGCTGGTCTGTGCGCATGCTCGCCAGACCAACTGTACAGGAGCCAAGGTGGCGCAGTGGTTAAATGCAGCACTGCAGGCTACTGCTAGATCAGCAGGTCAGCGGTTCAAATCTCACCGGCTCAGGGTTG